GAAAAAATTTTGCCGCCATTTTTCAGTACAATTTTTTTTATTAAAAAAATTCATGCAACAACCACCTCAACGATTGAAGCCTATTTCAGCAAAAGGCGGTCCAAGACAGGACGCTTTAGTCTCTAATCAGAATAATAATAATGGAGGAATTGTTTCTGCAAGAAGGGTGAAAACAGCAGGAGCTCCCTCTCGAAAACCTCAAACTCCGAGAGGAAATAATAGCAGTCAACGAGAGGTCACTCCGAGAGAGCATGCCTCGAATCAAGAAGAAGTCCTCCCTTCCCAGAGTTTGAACGATAATAATCCAATGAATAGCAGAGGTGTCGTTCAGTTAGTGGATGCATCATCTGCGTTGTCGGTTTCCTCGGAGATGGACATCATCGCAGAAGAAATTGAAACGATATCAACAAATGAAGAATATAGATCTCAACCCAACGATGTTTCATTAGATTCAAAGGTGTCAAATATTGAAAAAACTCTTTGCAGCAACAAATTATCGTCGCAAATTCTGACAGAACTTGGAGAATTGCAAGACGAAAATACCGACACGTTTATCGATGAAGAGCACGAATTGGAAAAGAAGAAATTGATTGTGTTGAAAGACCTGCAGAAAAAATACCCGCAATTCAGTTCACTTCGAGACCAACCTCTTCTTGTGCCGTTCAAACCTCTCGCCGATTCAGCTCCAACAACCCCAACACCTATACCACCAAAAGCCTCCGAAGATGAAGAAGAAGGAGATGAGCAAGAAGAGGATGGTGATGAAAACGAAACAAAAAAACAACAAACAGTGACATCACCCACAACAAACGAACAACAGCAATATGAAAAACAACAATACGAAAGGTCGATTATGGGAAACGCCACTCTGGCTGAAATTTTAATGGAATTGGAATTGGAAAAAGTGGAAAAGAAGAGAGACGAAATTCTAAATGCCAAATCATCAATTTTAACATCAGCTGCAGCTACCACTTATAACTTCAGTTCAATATCATCGGATTTACAGAGAAAATCTTATCTTGACTATCGCAAAGAGAGAAACGAAACTCTACTACAACTCGAAAAATTACCCACAGTATCTTTCAAAGAGCCTTCTCACATTTCGGCTGAAAAACAATTGAATTTTTGTTTGGAAAAGAAAAATACCAAGGCCTATATGGAAAATTTTGTCTTGTCTTTTTACAATTACTGGAAAGAAGTTCAAAAATTACAATGTTACAAAGTCATTACAAGATGGCAAAAATTTTCAGATCGTTCGGACATGATCGTCAGAGCAGAACCTATGCTTCAATCTAAATTGTCAAGAATTCAGAAGGAATATGAACATTCTTGTTCGAGACTGAAAGAAATTTCTTCAGAAATTCGATCTAATCACCCAAAGAATATTATCAAAGTCACTGACCTTCAGACAATTATCCGAAAACAACTCTATGATGCTCGGGCAAGAAGAAAGGTAGATCAATTTTTGTTAAAATCCAAGTGGCTGCCGTACTCTGAGAGAAGAACATTATTTAAAAAAAGCTTTTGATATTCCAAATGTACAGACCGATGCAAGAGCTCCAGGAATATCTGTCGTTAAATCAGAGATAGAAGAGCAGTTGGAAACGCTAAAAGATTGTGTCGAAATGAAAAAACTTCCCTCTGAAGAGACAGGTCAAGAATTTTTATACCTTGTCAGAAATAAGTTTGATGCAATATTTAAAGCTCAATCTGCAAAGCTGAAGGTTTTACCCTATCCTTACAAAGAAAATGTAAATAACGACAATAGTGGTTTAGGAGGGGAGAAGAAAACAGATTTGGCGTCAGATACTTTCACTTATTTGAAAGAGTCTACTTGGACAAATGATCCTTCTTACAAATCTTCAAAAGTTTTTTTTCCTCCTCAAGATGCATTTGAGCAAAAACAAACTATATTAATGACCAACGATTTACGAATTGATCCACAACTTCAAATAGAGGCTGGGTTTTTTACACACTACAGAATTACAGTATGCAAGAAAACGATTGAAAGATCAAGCAGATTCTCATTTCAAAAGAGCAAGAGTAGAAGATGAAGTTCAGACCTATCTTGAAGAAGGATATATAGCTGAGCGAAAGTTACCTCATAACAATGAAGAAGATTCCAATGTGGAGGAAAGCGATTCAGAATAAGGTCGCAGCTTTATACTTGCTCAGATTCATAAGAGTGCGTGAGTTTAAAAGAAAACTATTGGACATTCTTAATTACTTTAGATCCATAGAAAAACGCCTTTATTTTGACCATATTGGATATTTAGCAACAACCGAAAATGCCAGTTCAAGTTTTATTAGAAAATTTTTCGTTTCTTCTGACGATTTAGAAAAACTTGCTTCTACCGACTCTCTTCCTCTTAATGCAACCTTCAGAGATGATAAATATTCTCTTCATTTGAAGCGGGATGTGGTAGTGAGAGATGCAAATGGACTTAAAATTATGTATGATGCTGCTCTAAAAGATTATGAATTGCTAGAAGAACGTCTACTCAAAATTGGATCGTACTTTATTGAAAAAAACTTGTCATCTTTTCCTAAACTTCAAGTTGACAGATTTGTGGTTCTTGAAGGATTACTCGAAAGTGAAACATGGTTCCAAGACTCTAAGCGTAAAGTCATTGATTGTTACATGGAAGCGTATGAACATTGTTACGAACCAAAGGAACAATTACGCTTGGCAAGCGCAATCATGCAAATTATGAAAAAAACTCCAAAGTTTAATTTAGAAAGCCACTATTTTTCCGAAAGTTATGCGTCAGAAATTATTTGCTTAGAATTATATCATAGTTTACTGAAAGACATTCTCAAGGAGCAAATTAGGGATGAAAAAGATTATCTTTCATTCATATACGAAGCAATTGATCCGTCAACCGAAAGAAGTGGATTTCCAGATAATGTAACTTTGGATAACTTTGCACAAACAGAGCTCTTTCCTGGATCCTCTAAAGTGGGATTTCTTGATTTTTATACATCAACAAGCATCATTGGTCGGATTCATGAACATCTAGAAAAAGCTGTTAACAATATTACAAACTCATTTAAATTTAAGAATGTTTTGTCTTTGAATGCTGTACGACGATCTGTCTTGCAGCAACTGATAGTGGAATGGAAATTAATTGCTAAGGAGGAAAAGATCCAAAAGGCAATTAAAAGTAAATTATCAGAAGAACGATCTGCAATTGAAGATACCAACATTTTAGAAGATCCCAATGAGTTGATATTTTTATTGAACACTGTAATAGACACAGAGAAAATGCCAAAGCATAATACCGATGATCAAGAAAACATGATCACAAGAGATACGGAAGGAGGATTCTCCATGGCAGAGAAAGACTCTATACCGCTCCAATACTTTTCGAATTTAGTTGAAATGATCACCATCTGGAAACATTTAACAAAAGAACTGTTGGAAACAGACATTCTGACCGCTATCTTTAATTCACAAGCCACTCTTGTTGGTACAGCACAACAGTCAATGAACTCAGCCCTTGGACCTCTCAACTTTGACACCAAGGATGCTTTGAATGATTCTCAGCACTCATTCCCTGAAATGAAAACACAGTACCTTACCAACTTGGCGATCGTCGAGTTCGATAGCTCAATGGCAGAAGCCAATTTCAACTCTTTTGATGGCATCAAACGATTAGTTGGATTAGTCGGACTGTTCGAGTTGAGACATCTGTATCAATATCAAATGCTGCAAAAAATTCTCTACGAAACCGCTGTAAAATATAATCAGACGCCGCTCGACGATTATTATGTGGCCCAAGAAAAGAAAGAATTCTTTGTGACATCAATGAACACTCAAAATGACACATCTCAATATATAACAAAGGAGGTTCTTCAGGAGTTATTCTTGACATTCAATAACATGAAAATACCCATACGTCAAAGAATCCTAAAGGAATACCAAAAGTTGTCCGAAGGTATTATCAAAAGCAAGCGAGCGAATGTAGTTAGAAAATATCTAAGAGATCTCAAATTCAGACTTTCTGCGAGTTTTTGTACATCAATGCTGTCGACTATTCAACCTTATATTTTAAAATGCGATATTATCGATGTAGTTAGAGAGCTTAGAGCTACATTAGGCGCCGTCTCAGTTGGCAGTGGATTTTTGATTGGTAAACCAGATCACAACGTTCAAATTTCATCACACGGCGTAGTCTCGAAGAACAAAGATGATCATGCAAACAAATGCGTTATGGCAAAAGATGGAGAGGTTGTGAATGTTACCTATGTTCCTCACTTTATTCAAATAATGAGAACTTCTTTCATTCAGGCCAACGAGGAGGAAAACACAATGACAGACAATTTCTATAACTTATTGCAAATATTACAACGTACCTTCATCATTTTGAAATTTTGGGCGATCAGTATTCAAGCAACTGCAAAATTGTATGATATTATCATCAATGAAGGATATGGATTGGAAAAAGGTTTAGAAACCTATTGCAAGTCTTTGACTTCGGAGCTTGAACACTTGAGACAGCCAGAAAATCCAGCCTCCGTTATTAGTTATTTGACATTGAAATGTGAAACTCTACTTTTAAAATATATTCTTATTCTGGACAACTTGAAACATAAATTAAGAAAGGAAGGAATGAGATCGTGTATGATTGCTGAGAATTATTTACAAAGTATTACCCATGAACCCATAGAAGACAACCTTTCAGAATCAGATGTATATGTTATTTCTCCAAAGCATCTCGATCAAGAAAAAAGAGAAAAATATACGGGACTCGATGCGAGTAACCAAAATATATTACCTCTCAAATGCTTAAACAATCTACTATTAGAGTTGCATGATTCTGAGAGAAATTACTTTTCTGCTGAAGATGCAAATGTCACTTTGTACATGGAAGAGTTGTTGACTGAAGAAAAAGTTTATCCTAACAGCATGCCTGAGCAAGCTGTCAAGATGCAATTTGATTTTTTGAAGACATCTGTGTTGATGTACAAGCTGAGGGACTATTTTTTAGACCTTAGCTGCAATGGATCAAAATTAATGTTGCAAGATGAGGCAAAAATGGAAGACTTGTACAATCACATTATTTTCAAAAAAGCCAAAAGAATTTATGAGAAACAGCTGAAAGGACTCATTTCAACCTTAGAGCAAAAATCAACAAATGACATCTATGATATGGCTATTCAACAAAAGGCAAAGAAGAAAAAAGAAAAAGATCTTAGAGACAAGCAAGTGTCTATATTGTTTCAAGAAATCTCTAAACTTCTCATTTCCAAGTCTATACAAGATATGAAAGAAACATATGCAATTCTCAAGAAAGAGCTTCATGAAATGGAACAGCCACCATTGCATACTGAGAAAGATTCATTCGAAGATTCGAAAGTACAGATATTTCATTCATTTTTGAATAGGATTTTGACAAATGCTGGAAAAACTAGCTCCAAGAATGGAGAAGCTCAAGTAACGATCAATGAAAAGGACCTAGAGAAAGCGTTGGAGGAAGTTGGACAGAAAATTCAAGAGTGGAAGACTGAGTACATTAGATTTTTAGAGTATAAATCATATGAGGTGATTGACCACTTGAAACGAAGTCTATTCACATCAGAGCAAAAAGTCAAATTTTTACTCTACAAGAGAGATGTAGACAGAAAATCATTGAAGCGCAGAATTGACGCGGAAGTGGATGACAAAAATTATGATTTGGTGTTTCTCGTGAATAATATACTGTGGAAAAATAAGGAACTCGAACATCAGCTAAAGGAGGTAAAATCGCAAGTTCGAAATGAATTAATTCATGAATATGAGGACCTTGTTAGAAACTTGTACAAGGAGCTCGTTTCAACAAATGGCAAAGTTGCAAAATTCAAAAAAGATTTTCTTCAAAATCTTGATCAACGGTTTTATGAAGTACGTGAGAACACATTTTTCGAAATTGCCACGCAGAAAGATATTGGAGATGCCTCATTCAAAAAGAAGGCGCTCGAAGTAGCCATGGAAGATAGCGAATTGAACAAGTTGAGACGAGAGAATGAAGATCTTAAAGTACAGCATACACAGTTGCAGTCTCTCTACAAAATTCGACTCATCACTCTTCAATCAAAATATGAAAAGTTAATATTGGAGGCAGAGAAAAAGAGGATGAAGCTCTCAAGGATTTCTATGCCAGTAAATATGAAGTTGGGCTCAGAGAAAATCAATTGAGACAAGAATTATTGAAAACACAACAACAGCTCAGTAACGCAGAGATGGAAGTTGAGCAATTACGAAAAGATCTTCAACTTCAAATCAAGAACAAACAAAAATTAGTGAATTGGAAAGTTAAAAATGCACAATTACTGGAAGAGTTAGAGGAGAAGGTTGAAAAGTATGAAAGATGGAGTCACACCAATGTGGATAAACTTTTACTCGAGCTTGAAGAAAAGAAGAGAGAAGCAGGACATTATGAAAAGTTGAAGGAGCGTATGAAAGAAAAAACCAATGCCATCGATTTCAAGAATCAAAAGACCATTGAAACTCTGAAAAAGAAATTAGCAAAAGAACAAGCCATGAAATCCAAACTCATGGAACAGCTCGAAAGCATGAAAGAAAATTATGAAGAATCCTCCTGGCAAGCGAAATATTGGCAACTCATGAATGAATTGCAACAAGTTCAAAAAGAAAACGCCTCTCTCAAAATCATGCTCGAAACAAAGACCTCTTTCACTGAGCCGAATGTGGATTCTGAACTTGAAAATCCACCCATCGTCAATTTGGACGGTAACAATGCTGTGGTTCATACCACTCCCTCACCTCCAAGCTCTGGAAGAAAGACGGCCTCTCCCTCCACTCTATTGAGGCCAATATCTGAGGGAGACACTCCTGCTGCCATGTTTCTCATTGAGAATGCACCAAAGAAGAGGCCTTCCACAGGAGCCGTTCGAGCTAGAGCTGCAAATAATAACAACAATGCGCAGAACCAAACATCCACCATCATTCAACAACAACTTCAACAATTCAAGAAAGTCATGACTCAATCCAATGCGAGCAGTATTACCAATCAATCCACTCCGAGCGCACGACCTCTCACAGTGCTTCCTACGTATGGAAAGGGTATGTTTGGAGGAATGCCATTGCAGCAAAAACGAAGAGCCATGTCTGCAGGAACCAAAACTCGAAAGCATCAGTCCCAACCTTCAACCACCACCACCACCACAGCTTACACCTCACCTACGACGAACATGGTCTCTGAATAACTAAAAGCCACACACTCTTCCTCTTTGGAAAACCTTTTGATCTTACTAAATTGTAAACAACCCTATGACTTTGTTGTGCAATCAAATTGACATGAATGAGAGGGCGATCCTTAACACGAGTACTGCATGCAGTACAGGGGTATTTCAGAATTAGGTTGGTACATTTGATTTTTTTGAAAAATGGAGATGAAAAAATGCTTTCCTTAATACCCATCGACACACGGGCGATAAAACAACCAAGAACCAAGAATGTTGCTGTGTTCTCAATTGTGGTCGTTGTGATGATTTTTGGTTTTCTAATGGTTGAGGGGAGCATAGGGGAACTGGTTCCTCCTCTTCATGAAATTGTCCTTCCTGGGGCTTCCGCCAATTCAAGAACTATTTCTTCGCTACTGATGGAACGTAAAGACCAAATCATGATTCATGCCTATAATTTTACTCTCAATCACGAGTATATGTACTCTTCCTTTCTAAGCGGAAATGAATCAACTCTGTACATCATTCATATGAACTCAAGCACGAGCCAAATTACCGTTTCTCTCGATATTGTACTCAAATCCAATAACAACAGAAATTGCTCGTTATGGATCGGAAACGGAAATCAACCTCCGATCCCTCATCGAGCGTTTGAGAGCCGTTTGCACCACAAGCATTCTGCCTTCCGACTGAGTGCTCCCAATGTGAATGATGCCAGCACCGCTCTGACCACAGTGTTCGTTTTGGTGGCCAACGAATCACCGACATCTTCTGCCACTTCTTCTCTGGTGGAATTTGGTCTCACCATAACCATTTCTCAATTTGCTCTGAGAGGAGGTACCATTGCCTTTCTGGTCCTTCTCGGAATTGTCGTGATTGGAATAGCTCTGTTGTTGGTGGTTGTTGCTCTTGTTCATTGCACTTCGAAACGTGTCCAAGTATTGGAAACGCACAACCAGCAACAACAAGAGGACTCTCGCAACAAGATTGAAATGACACCGATCCACTATCAAAAGATGACTGATGAAGAAGAGGTCTAATCTTGACTCTCTAATGTGAGTAACATTCGCGTGTGTTCTTAAGTGCTTGCATCGCCTCCGGTGATCCTGTTATTGTGGATGTGCCTTAATAAAAAATGCTCACCACCCCATCCAAAGCAATTACTCTTCCACCCTCCTCATCGGCAACGCCATCCTCCTCGTGTTCTTCTCTTTCCATTCATCAGGAACATCAAGAGGAAGGGGACATGTTGCTGAGAAGAGTGGTTGCATCTAATTTTGTTGGAAACGGAACTCCACCTCCTTCTCCTTCCAACAGTAGCGAAAGTAAGAAAAAAAACAAGACCAGAAAATTTACATTCAACGTAATGGACTCTCCAGCAGAATCTTTTTCTTCGTCGGATGGTCTTTCTTCATCTCAACGATTGGACAAGTTGAGGTCATTGAGTATTTCAATGGAACAAGATAAGGTTCAAGAGGTTGAACGATTGATCGTTGATCATTCTCCAAAAGGAACAAATACGCAGTGTGTCAAATGGAATCTTGGGATGCAATCGGATCAAAAGCAAAAAAGACCATTATGGGCACCGTCCTTGCTCACCAATCCTCGAAACAGACCGAAATCCAAGTCATGTCCTGCAGATTACGTGGTCAGCTTTGACATGGGAGAAAGTCAAGGAGTTGTTTCCAGTCATGTCTTAGACCCCTTGGAACATGGCTTTGTACACAACAATGAAAAGAGAAAAGAATTAGCAGAAAAGCTGCTATTGAAATCACAGGGTTTGCATTTCAAGCCCATTTCCAAATTTTTCAAGTCACATAAGGGTGTTCGTGAGGAATCTCTATATAAGCATTCACAGCCCTCCCAAGAGACTCTAAAAAACGGGAAAATTATAGGGGGAGGAGTGAATGACGTACTGAGCAAAACCATTGAGGAAGAAATTCAAGAAAATGAATGTTGCAATTATGAAGAGCTATTAAGAAAAGGTTTCTATCTTTATTTGGGTGTTACAGCCGATTTAAGTATTCTAAAAAACACTTTTTTGAAAGAAATTCCAGATGATTCCTGCATGAAATTCGATAACCAGGAGTGTGTTGAACCGTTTCGCTTAAACATAGCACTTTCCATTGATTACGAATTCAGAACATCGTATTTTTCTGTTGTTTCTCACGACTCCTTTTTGGTTAAGGGTTTTGTTGAAACTCTTTCTTCGTTTCCTACCAATACAAACGAGCAGTTGAAATTCATTGAAAACGCGTTTGAGAAAGATGAATACAATAACATGAAAATGAAACGCTTGTTCTCGATGAAACGCCAAGATTTCCCACCTTCTCAATTTGTTTCTTGTGATAACGATATTGAGCGGTCCATATTGCATTTTGGGACAGTCCACGGACAAACAGCAGAATGTGTATTTGAAAGAAAAAAACAACCAGGAACGATGGCCCTTTAGTGAAAGTATTAACAGAGTGAGAGCTGTGCTTATATGTAACGATAATCTTAGTAATCAGTACATTTCTCGTGGAATGTGGCAACTGATTCATCTCTTTGAAATTGAGGATATATTGGATTCCGAAGTGCAAGCTCCTCTTTCCTCCGTGAGGGAAGAGAAATCGATGAATGCACCAGAAATGGGCACCCAGACGACAGAAGAGATAATTTTAGGTGAGTCTTGTAGTGAGGATTTACAAGATGTGAGCAATGCAAGTCCACACCATCTTGACCCAATGATCGAAAAAAGAAGTTCACAAGGAAACAACCTCCGATCAAAGTGCACTTCAAGAGAGTGAAAAGACTGACTTGTTGTTGAAGAATGCCATGTGCGACCAGACCACAGTGGAAAATCATACAGATACCTTTGATTTACAATCAACCTTAGAGTTGGTACCGTACAATATTGATTGTTTTTCAGAAAACCTTGACCAAAATTCAAAAGAGGAGCCCACAACTGATAATGAGACGTCGTTTATACCAACAGAAGAGAAACATTTGGAAATGCCCGTATCACCACCTCCATTAATGATTGCCAATAAGGAGGATGAGCAAAACGAAGAAGATTCAATAGAGGTATTGTCAAAAGAAAACGTTCCTGAGATAATTTCCCGCAGAACAGGAGACTCATTTGATGTTGACAGGAGCGACCAAAAAGAAGAGTCCTTTGAGGTTGGAATCTCAAAAGATAAGAATGAGCAAGCTGAGGATCGAGTGGAGTCACCCCACCCAACAAGCAATAGTCAAAAGCAACACAAAGCTCCCATTAAAAGAAGAAAGGAAATAGACGCTATGTGAAACATCCTACTCTTTTCAAGTAAAGGCTCTTTTCCTCGTATCGAAACAAAGTCGGTGTTTTAAAAACCAAAAAAAAAGTTCTCCCAATAGTCGTTCTCGTCACTCTTCGTCGGATTCAGAAATTGAAATTCATCTACTAGCTCATCTCCTCTTCATCAGAATTTCAACTGAATTTTTAAATTGCACATCATCATCCTCTCCTATTGAAGGAGAATACAATTCTATATCAGCATCATCACCAAATATATGCTCAAGAAATTTTTCGGCAGTGTAGCCGATAACAAGAAAGATCTCGAACACTTTGCGATGAAAGAACTGAATGATGATTTTCCTCCTGGTGCTTCATCGTCTCCCACAAGCATGCCGAATACAGAATCTCCAACAAACAGCACCAACAATAATGTAAAACCATTCAACAACATAATTAATAATAATAATAATAACAACAAAACTTCGTCTCCTTTTTCACCTAGAACAACAACAAATTTTCCCTCACAACAACAACAACTTCATCAACTCCCACCCACCATTTCTACTAGCACTGCCAAGTCCTATGCAAGCACTCCGACGACTGCCACAACACCCAGTGATCTTCAACGAAGGATTTCTCTTGCACTCACTTCATCTCAACAACAGAAGGAATCACCGACTGCTGCTCATATTTTGCTCACGGAAAGAGGAGCTTCTATGCTTCACCTTTCTGCTCATCATCATAGAAATTCATCATTGTCAAGTTTGTTGGATAGTAATGGTAATTTATTAGAAACCCTTTCTGCAGCAGACGATGAAGTTAATGGGATGAACAACAATGAAAGTCTCACCAACAATCCAACAACTAACACGGGTAGTGGTAATTTGAAATTACCAGAACTGGTTGGTATTGCTCCAGGTAGTCCCGATTTGTTAGAGGCTTTTGTGGCAGCCGAGAGTGATAGCGATGATGAGGAAGCAATGACGCCAAGAGGTACATTCAATGGAGGAGCCTCCAAGAATGGCAGTAATAATGAACAACAACAATCACAAGACGACAACGGTATCAACACTCCAGTGCTCAAAGTAGATCGAACAGACACTTCCGAGCAAAATTCATCAGCACAACAAACTCTATCAACAAACTCTCTTTCGGGATTAACAATAGGTTCCAGACATTCATCCAAGGATGCACTGGCCTCTGTAAGCACTCCCATGAGTGCCCGAAGTTTGGCCTCCATGTTAGATCAATTCATGGATGATCACTTGGCTTCTCCAAATACCTCAAGTTTTATGATGGTTGAGAGTGGAGAACGAAGATTGAGCTTGGATGAGACACAAACAAGTTCATCATCTAAAATTGATATTGAGCCAGTTCCAAGAGCATCTTTGGATAACAGTTCTACCGGAGTTTCTAAAAACAACGGCCATTTCCCAAAAATTCATGGCTCTGCATACCTTCAAAATGAAGAGGTATCTACCTCGTCACCTTTATTAACAAACACTAGTGGATCTGTAACTCCATCTCTCCAAACACCAGTACCTCTAAAACATAAACGAACAAAGAGCGTAGATTCTTCACATCAACAAGATACATCAACAGTCGGAAAAGCTTCGCCTACAATCACAAAAACAGCAACAACAGCGAATCTTCAGAATATTGTTAAAACTCCAAACAAATTTGCAGTTCCACAAAATGAAACTCCAATCTACAAATCGTTCAAATATACAGATGAAGAAGGAAAAGAATATCATTATCAAGGAACTGTTTTGCCAAGCACAAACGAAATGCATGGTAGGGGCGAATTATTGTTTCCTAATAAGACCATCTATGAAGGAGATTTTGACAAAGGAAAAAAACATGGATTTGGAAAAATTATTTTTCCATCCCCAATTCCCAAAGAAACCACCAACCATCGCAATCGGTCAATGGAATAATGATGTACCTTCAAGCGAATTACCTTGGAAAATTTCATATGATGGAGAGGAAATGGAATATTGGGGATATGTAAAATTGAAACCAA